ACAAGTATGGACCTGTCGCAGATCTCAGACGTGACCAACAAAGAATTGGATTAGTGCATTCACGAACAAATAATTTTTTTTTCTTTGCTACACAGTAACTGGGTAATAAGATTATTCACGGGTGCAAAAAATATACATTCCAAATTTTATTTTTGATGATTTAAACTGCTTCACAGAATTATTAGTATGCTGATTGCAACTCTATACTTTGAAAGTGCTTCAATTACTTTGAAAAGACTTAAAACTTTTTGAATTACAAATTGCAAAGGAATTCGATAAGTAATTTATTTATGAAAAGAATAAATGCCATATTAATATTTTCATATCGATCTCTTATTATATTTTATTAATTTTGCAACAGCTTTCTGGAAATGGGACCAAAAAAACAGTGAAAAGTAATAACTTATTATATTATGCAGCTTTAGTAATTTAATGTTATAAAAATGTTTAAGATTTTTCAACCAAATTGTACAAGATCGATCACATTAAAAATATTACTAATTGATTAGTTATTTCTAGGTAATATTTAGTGGTTTGCTTTAGGATAGTATTGAGTTTCCTATAAAAGTTATTTTCGTGGAAAAATACGTTTCTAATTTTCTTTATAGTTACATTAATAAAGTTGTAATATTTGCTGTATGTTAAGTTGCCTATATATCATATTATAAATTGTAGTTTAGTTTATAGCTAAAAAGAATTAAATTAATATCTTTAACTGCGTCTAAATGGAAGAAATATGATTTAAAGATGAAAATTACTAAATACTATGTATAAAAAATAAATAAATAAATGTGTTCTGAAGGAAAAGCAAATTCCTTGAGCATCACCATTGACTTCATGTTCAATGCTATTACTCTCAATATTGTTTGAATCTGAAAGAAACATTATAAAATTAAAACCAAGTTCACTACCAACCATTGGAACCCTTTAATTATTCACCGTTTGTTGTCAGAACTAATTAGTATTTTTATTTACTAATTAATTAACCACCTTACACTCACCTACAGTTTCAATATTCCATGGTTTTCGTGGAATATTATTTGTATCAGTTGAAGTTGAGGTTTTAATGGTTGTTGTTGTTGTATTATTTACAGATGGTACATACCCTACAACAAAACATTATCTGGGTGATTATTTCTTAGAGGTGCTCTTTCATTTTCATTCGCTTTCATTCAATTAAGAACCATTTAATTTCGCTTTCATTCAATTAAGAATCATTTAATTTAGAAACAGTTTGGTTTTAAGCCAAGACAACTTTCGGTCTAATCTAATATTTTGAGGATAAGTAATATGGTACCAATCAGGACCGGCGAAAACGACTGAACCCATGTCTACGTGATTTCATCAAAAGGTTTCTAAATAGTATCCTCTTCACAGAAAATTCAGGAGCCCTTTTCCACAATACAATACAATTATTTAATATACATTGGCGAAATTAATAGCTCGATTACTACTTATTTGATTTCGCACTTGAAAACTGTTAACACCATGAGATTCTACGTATTTTTTTACATAATTATCACTTGTTAGAGCTTAATAAATATCTTCCATCTCGTAATAATTTCACGAGCGCTTTTCTATGTTTAGATTATATTACATATTTTGGCGAAATAGTGCCGATGAGTACCTATCTGACACCGCACTCGAAAACTGTTAACACCATGAGATTCTACGTACTTTTTTATATAATTTTCACCTCTTAAAGACTTTCAAATATCTTTCGTCTCGTTATAATTTCACGAGCGCTTTTATATTCTCCAGCATTATTGTTGCTAAAATATATGAAATGAAGCATTAAAAAGCGCTCGTAAAATTATTACGAGATGGAAGGTGTTTACTAAGGTTTAAGAAGTCACAATTATGTAAAAAAGTACGTAGAATCTGACGGTGTTAACAGTTTCCGCGTTTCTATGTTCATTTTATGATAATTTCGCACTAGAAATATTTTCGAGCGTGAAATTTGCTAGTCACAATAAGTCTTCCGCCGCGCCTGGTACCAACAGTAGTAACTTTCATAGAAAATATACAGAACAAACACCCTGTACATGATGTATTACCTATGCAAGAATAGAGTCCCTGTTTTTTGAGTTTCATTTCGTAAATCTCTTGGTCGACACTTCTTCGACAGTCTTCTCCTGCTTCTCTAATTGATATCGTTTCTTTGTTGTTCATTATTGACCCGACGAAGCATTCGTAGGAACCATCACTTACGTCTTTTCTTTGGGTGTAAGTGTAGAGTAAGTTGTTTTCTTGCCAGTGGCCCAGGCAGGTGTACTCCCTTTCTTCGTAAATTTCATTCGTTTCGCAACTGGACACTTGGTAATACATGACATCAGGTACTCTACAGTCTGACCACAGTTTGGCACAAAGGTCATCAGTGTTGGGAATCAATCCAGTGTATTCCCCCGATATTGGACAGGCAACATCCACTTTTTCATCGACCCCTTAAGAAAAAATTACCTGTTTTTGTTTGACCAGCAAAATATTTTTTGTTCTTTTTCATAAATAATTTCTTAAACACACACGTGTATGTATGTACGCGTACCTAACAAGAAATAATTTTATTATATGTATTAGAATATAATGTCGTCATTATCTAAAACTGTATTTCTTCTTATAGTGGGTGATGTAATTAGTGTACAGTATTTTGCAAAAATAACGATAGGAAATGTTTTGCAACAAACTACTCTGGTACATCGCTATATTATTAACAAATTCTGATCTTCAATTAATAGTNTGTTCTAGTTTTAGGGAAATGCGAAGTTTAGCTCAGGATAGGAAAGAGTGGAGGTACGTGTCCAACCAGTCTTAGGACTGATGACCTTATGATGATGATGATGATGATGATGGAAAGAACGAAGATTCAGTTCTCTTACTTTTGCAGGCATTTGTTTGCTTTCCAATGGCAGGTCTCCAGGGTAGATCGTTGAAAAAGTCTTCGCATTCTTCGCAATTTGATCCTTTTGTGTTATGAGTACACTCGCATCTACCATGTACCATGTCCGGTTTAGTTTCCATTCCCGGTAAGGGCAAACAGCGGTTGGCATGACCGTAACAAGAACAGGAACCCCGTACTACCATATCGGTTACTGCGTAGTAGTACTTTTCCTAAAATTAAGACAATGTAAATGCTATCTGTTATGCTACAAATTTGATGTAAAAACCTGTATTTCTTCGCGTGGATCCAGCAAATCGTCACCTAGAGTATGGAGTTTTACAAATCGGATCCGAAGATTAGTAACTTTTAGTAAGTTTTGAACTTCTTCGGAATAGGGATTGTCGATATGCATATTAGGTGGAAGAACTCTAAAAATAAGTTCTCCGTTTGTCGAGGGTGCCACATTTGAATATCGGGATTCGCAAATAACGTCTGTTAGATTTTGCGAATATCTTTCTGGAATTCCTGGAAAACTGTCCGCACATTTATGCGCAAAATACCGATATACCTAAAAATAATTTAGAAAACGAGTAGGTACAACGGTTTAAAAAACTTGTACATAGAAAAAATGCTGGCAATGTAAGTAATATCAGCATTTTTTACAATCTTTTTGTTGTACTTTAAGTGCACATTTAGTAGAAATACAATCCATGTGCATACCTTCCATGTTTTTCCGAAGTCGTAAGACCTTTCTATGTACATAGCTGCTGGTCTAAACGTTTTAAAAGTCATAATTAAATGGGTAAAGTGAAACTCCTTTTCTAGATCAAGTTGAATCGAAACATTTTCTTTGCCATTTTCTGACTGCCACCACGACTTTAGTTTTGTTCTAAAATTTATAAAGATATCAAAAGAAAGTTTCTAAAAGTTGTAGAGGTCGTACCCTGGGTAGTATCTATAAACAACGTTTTGTATACTGTGGTTTAAATGTGGTTTCATGATTTTGGATGGACGTGAATCGCACCAAAAGCATTTCTTTCGGTCTTCCAAGTGAGACACAATACAATATCGTTGTTGCTCATAAAGACCGCAAGTTGAAGACGCGCTAAGTTGTTTCTCTCTACCTATAAGTAAATTACCTGTGGCTGGGTAACACGAACTTTGCTCACATGGATGGGGTTCTACAGGGACATATCCTATAAAAAATAAAATTGACATTTGACGAGAAATCAAAGGATTCTGATAAGTATTATATCGGAAATCGTTCAGATGGTTTACATTTATTTTAAGTTCTAAAATAATCTACAATATGCATATTACGTAAGACGTCTCTAATAATATATCACAAGAAGAGATAAGAGAGTAGTTCCTATTATAATAATTCTTAGGCTAATCGTTAGATTTGTTCATAATTATGACCCAAGGAGCAGTTTAGCAATTATGTTGTGTGATAAAAAATTGACATTTGACGAGAAATCAAAGGATTCTGATAAGTATTATATCGGAAATCGTTCAGATGGTTTACATTTATTTTAAGTTCTAAAATAATCTACAATATGCATATTACGTAAGACGTCTCTAATAATATATCACAAGAAGAGATAAGAGAGTAGTTCCTATTATAATAATTCTTAGGCTAATCGTTAGATTTGTTCATAATTATGACCCAAGGAGCAGTTTAGCAATTATGTTGTGTGATAAAAAAATATATACAATATAACATTTACATGTAATAATAAATGTATTAAGTAATTGGTTTTTATTTTAATATATGTACATATTATGCAATTTGGAATTAATTTTTTTTTTAATTACCTTTATTAATGTTCCCCCAATTTCGTGCTCTTGCTGCCCCACCAACATATTCATTGACTAAATGTTGATCTAAAAAGGTAGTTTGAATTAAGCCTTGCAAAATTAAAATTTAATTAAAAATAACTTACTTAAAACGGACTTAATTAATGTAATTAATCCAAAGTATAAAAGTAAACTTTTTGCCAAAGATAAGCACCCTTCCATGATTCAGTTACAACCTGGAAATACCATTTTTTTAAATTTACTACAATTAAAATACAAGTAAACCAATTTTACTGAATTAAAAAAATGAGTCTAAATTAATATTATTTTGATTATACAATGGCAGTTGTTTTTGGAAATAAAAACTTCTTCTTTCTTAAAGTACCTAATTGGCCCATGAACATTATTTTTTTAATAAAAATGACACTGACGTCCCGTCATGTGT